TTCTATTTTTTTCTCTCCCCCCCCCCCCCCCCCCCCCCCCTTGTGGACAGAAATGTTTTCACGATCCCTGACCCATACCCCCGCGAAATGAAATACTATTGAGAACCTGATAACATGTATATTTTTATCTGTACAAACCACTGTATGAGTTGCTGCCACCTAGTGACTGCAGGCATGTTATCATTCAAGCATTACAGCAGTGGTACACCTATGTCCATTTTGATCTTGTTTAGCTAATGCTTAAGCTAACCGTGGCTACATAACAAAGAATCCTGATTAATCGTGATGTGGAAAAAGTTAATAAAATATTCAAAAGTATAACATACAAATTTAGCTTCAGATAGATTGTGGATATAAGTCACTGCTGTGCTTTTTGACCTTGGCCAATAGGAGCAAAAACTCTTTCCAGCAGTCTGTACAAATAACTTGTATGGACTATATAAATTCATAGTGTAATCAATGGGTATATAGTGCGTGTTATTATATGCTAAAAATCTGTTAAATATTCATAAATTCATTAAAGTGGTCAGCGCTTTAATTTGGCAGCCCTAATTAAAACACATTTAAACACATCTCTCTTTCATCTTTTTTTACTTGATTTCATCTGTGTAATAACGTAAACGTCACCGTGTCTAAAACCCCACGGTTAATGACTGCTGTCGTCTCTGTTTTGTTCCTTCATCTAGGCTATGTAGCGACAGCTTTGTTCTAGCCGACTCACTCACCGTCAGCTGTTACATGGTTCAAGTGTGTCAGGGCAGTAAAAAGGCGGCACACTCGTCCTAACAGCCTCGGGGTTATTTGCCACTGGACAGGGTGAGCATTCGCTCTTCCCACAGAACATCATTATTGTGTGTACACAGCAAACAGAGCTCCTTTATTCAGCTACTCTGTCTGATTGTTTTGGGTACCGGCCGTTTAGACACCTTTCAACATTGAATGACACGATGTAGTCAAAGACAAATAAATAACATATGGTCTTGTAAAGTCGTTTTTTTTTTTTTAAAACACTTACCATGTTGTGTTTATTTTCTGATCGTTAGCCTCAGGCAATAGACCAGCTAGCTAAATCTGTCTATTTTGTAATAGCCAAAAATTACATTTCTTTTGCCTGTAGAAATATAATCCACAATTGCTGCTATTACCACTCAATATAAATACAAATTATTATCTTATATAATTATATATTTCAGTTAAGAAAATGTATAATATATATATATGTATTATATATAAATATATATACATTTTTTTTTAAATATTTTTTTTTAGAAATTTGAAATTATATTGAGGAGTAAAATAAATTCAGTTTAGAAAATATATAAATATATTTTATATATGTATATATAAATATATATTTTTATAAATTTTCTGAACTGAAATTAAAGAAATTACATTTTTTACAAGACTAAAAAAATAGCTTTTTTTGAATATTCCGAGTCTTTCTGCATCATTTATATAAGAAGTTTAAAATGAGAAAACCTTAAGAGCTTTGGCGTCCATAACATTAACAGATTTTTTTTTTTCCTGATTCAAATATGATGTCCGTCCTTGGCATACGCAACTGAACTAGTGCTTTGTTAAAGAGAGAGAAAGTGCTGCTTCACTTCTCATTTAGTGCTGCTCTTGATAAAGAGTGGTGGAAAAAAATACCCTTGAATGAAATAAAGTAATGGAAAGTAGGAAGATACAGTCAAGCAACAAATACCAGGGATGTCCGACATTAATTTTTGGTCGATATCGGATATACCGATATTGTCCAAACACCTAATTTCCCTAACAAATGCAGCAAACATGGTTAAAAAGCAAATATACCGGTGGGTTATTCAACACATACTTAGCCTCGAGAGCAAGGGCAAAGACACCAGCTGCCTCTGGTGCTGCTGCTGATGTACCAGAATGGCGCAATGTGCAGTTCCCATACAGGTCTGTAGTGGCCTAAAATAAAGAAGAGACAATAATGGATCATTTATGAGGTGCCTCTCAGTTACAGAGAATGGACAGAACAGGCAATAGTAAGAATGATAATACAGTGTTCCCTCGCTATATCGCGGTTCTCTTTTCGCTACCTCAGTACATCACAGATTTTGTTTTGCTATATCGCGGTATTTTACGGTAATTTTTTTTTTTAATTTTCATTATTTTTGTGATAAAAAAACCTTTTTTGAACCTAAAAAAAAATGAAACAGTAAAATATAAAATCACTGTATATTAAATTATGAACTGCGGAAATATCAATGGATTATTTATCTAGCAAAGATATGGTAAATGGGATTCAAATTTTTGTGATCAAATCTTAAGCTGTTGTTAATGTTGTCCTATTAAACCTGGAGTGCGTAAAAAATTGTACATTTCTAGTGATTATTATCATTAGCTACATTGTTGCATGGAAACCTCAGATGACACGTTGTGTTTGTATATATATATATTTGATTGAGATTGTATTTATTTAAGTAAGATCTTAATTAGAAATGATAGCAGAACGACTGCAATTAGAAGAGAATCCATGGGGAAGATCTGTGGCTTAGTCAACAGCCAGAGGTGATTTGCATAATCACCAACACAAACCCTACTGCTTGTGTACCCTGGGAAATTCAGGAGCCTAATTCTGAATGTCAGACTGTATACGTAAGGACATTTATTAACCCCAGCGCTCACAGTGTCTGCAGACTGTCCTTGATAAACACGCTCCAGTGCAGCTCTTTTCATTGTTTACATGTATTGTATGATTCCGTCCGACTCCGGTGACTCATCGAGTCATTTTTTCAGGAATCACCCACCGGTGAGACATCAAACATCAAACATCAAACAGGGAAGCCTTTTCATGGGAAATGAAGCGCTTTTATCTTTTTTCCTTTTCTTTTTATGATGTCAACAGCTCACATAAGAAACTAGGATGAAGACACATGATGATTTTAATAAAACCTGATCTCCCTGATCTCTCTCTTTACAGTAGAGCCAGAATGCTCTCAATGCTGCGGTCGTCTATTTATGGCAACCCCCTTGTGGCAATGTGACGCACCTGAACAGAAAGAAATCAATAAAGGTGAAAGTTCGTATTTTTATATCCGGCCAGCTATTACAGAGGAACAGCTCTCTGGGTTTATCCCTGCTCTTATCAAACCTCCTGAAAGGTGTGGGAATACAACGAGAAGAAGCACTTGTCTGATGTCTAATGTGGTGATTAGCAATCATTGTTCCAAGAAAGCTAATCAAATTTTTTTATTTAGATTTTAACAATTAGCAGATGCTTTTATCCAAAGCGACTTACAAGGGAAGAATTAACAATCAAGCATGTGGTTCCCTCTGGGAATCGAACTTAGGACTCTCGTGATAGCCGCTACACTAGGGAACCACTTATCACAGAAAATTCAAAAATCTGAATTCACTTATTTGGTCTGAAAACTTTTTTTTTTTTTACTGCAAATCATTTTGTTCCTGTTTGTCTATGTGAAGGTAACGGGCAGAATAGTTAAACACTACTCCACTAGGTGGCAGAAGATGGCTTTTAAAACTTGAAAAAAACGAGAGTGACTCACAAAATCGTCATGTGTCTTTCTTCAATTCCTGCAAGTAGTCAGCATTGTGTTCAACTAAACGGGCCAGGAATTCACATTGAGTAAGTGAATTGGGAGTAAATTTAAACAAAAAAATGTAATTATCATTATTGCATATGCTAAAATTTGTTCTCGAAATGACAGCTCCAGAAACATTTGAATACTACCGCTGGTTCGTTTGAGAGTTACGCGGTAACAAAAGGACACTCACGACTCCAGCCTCTGGATTTCTCTTGCGTCCGTTGCTGAACGTGGAGGCCAGGGTGGAGGAGCAGCTCTCATCATACAGGGCGGTGCGGCCGTCGTTGATGGCTGAGTTGATGGAGATTGTCCACATGCTTGAGGCGTAGCCATCACAGTTGCAGTCGTCATAGCTACCACCATCTCCTGATGCCCAAACATAAATGCTGCCTTTTCCTCCACGCCCCTAAAAAAAAAAAAAAAAAAAAACCCTAAAAATTTCCAGAAAATTAAAAAAAAAACAAAAAGCTTGGGCGGATTCCTCCTTTTCCCCCCCCCCCCAAAAAAAAAAAAAAAAAAAACCCCATTAAATTTCCAAGTAGATTAGAAAATGAGTCACAGTTCTGGCGTATCACGGTTTAAATGAGAGTTGAGAAATCATCCGAGGATTTTGTGTTTATCTAATTAGTGCCGCTGTATGGTATTGTGTAAAATCACGTTATTTACTCACACAGAAAAACAATTGTTTGAACAAAGCTGCGGAACAATGACACACAGAAGAATCCCACATAAAAGAATCGTGGCCAGAAAAACAGATTCTGCTTCTGTCCAATGTATCAACAATACTTGCAGCTATGATGAAGATAGAGCGTTTATTTTCTTTGTGTAAATATAGAGAAATATATGTTCATATGTGTAAATACACATATCCTAAATAATTACCTGTGGGTAATTTATCTTATTTATATTTTTCACTCTTTGTGTCATTCTCTGACCTTTTTGTTGATGCAATATGGCAATTTCCTCAGTGTGGGATAACCTAATCTAATCTAGTCTAAACTAACCTAATCCAATCCAATCCAATCTAATCTATGCTATTCTATTCTACGCTAATCTAATCTAATAACCTAACCTAACCTAACCCAATCTAATCTAATCTAATTTATACTAATCTAATCTAATCTATTCTATTCTAATCTAATATAACCTAACCTAACCTTACTTAATCCAATCCAATGTAATCTAATCTAATCTATTGTATACTAATCTAATCTAATATAACCTTACCTAATCCAATTCAATCTAATCTAATCTATTCTAATCTAATCTAATCTAATCTAACCTAACCCAATCTAATCTAATCTATTTTATACTAATCTAAAATAACCTAACACAATCTAATATAATCTAATATAACCTAATCTAATCTAATATTACATTACCTAACCTAATCTAATTTAATCTAATATTAGCTAACCTAATTTAATCTAATCAATTGTAATCTAATCTAATCTAGTATAACCTAACCTACTCTAATCTTATCTAACCTAATCTATTTGTCTCACTGCACACTGCAATCTAGGTGCAGGCAGTGAGTGTATAAAACGTGTGTTTTATGTTGAGTTGAATACCTATTGTTAATTGTTACTTCCTAAAATAAAAACTGTCAAAAACATGAAATCCTTGACATAACATAAAACAACCCAAACAGGGAAAAAAAACAAAAAAAAAACGTCATTACACACGCAATTCCTTTATAAACAAAATATCTAAATCAACAACATAAACCTAACTTTGTTACTAGTACACAAATGTAGTCTATTTAAAAAAGACATTTAAAACAGCTTCTCTTTTATGCCAACTTTCTCATCTTATCTTTTATTTCAGACTTGGTTTCCACCATCTGATTCATTTACATTATTGGTAGTAATAATATAAAAAAAAAAAAAAGACAACGCTTGAAAAGACATCAGAATATCATCAGAACATCAAAGGCCACGCGGAGACTCTTCTAGCTCTGTACAAATAATCCCAGCTACATGCAGATCGGCTCGTACTCAGCCGTGCTGCCTGTGAGTGGGGGTCACCTCAGAGCAACCCACACCTGTGGGCATGTGGCGCATCATGTTTAATCGAGCAAATAATTGGCAGAGGCGCTGGTTTAATGGCAGCTGTGTGTGTATCTGTGTGTGTGTGTGGCTCCCACAGCTCTAAAACTTCACTGAATTCAACTCATAAATATGCTGTGGTCCCAGAGTCCACATTAAATGTGGTCCCAGCAACAGTTTTGCATAATGGGATTAAAGTGAAGGTCGGTGCAGAAATACGACTAAATTAGAAACTCGCTGTTTTTACAAAGTCACAATGAGAAGAACAAGATGGCCGATGAAGAAAATTCAGCCTGTCAACAAAACTAAGCTGAGTTCAAATAAAAGATCACTTTAATTCCTCACCTTGTTCACGCCGTCGGCCATGGCCTGCAGGGTGAGCTCCCTCGGTCCGTCAACCGTCTTGCCGTCGTCAGTTGGTCCCCAGCTGGCGCTGTAGATGTCAATAACCTGAGGCATGTGGCTGATGGACGATGCCTCGATGATGTCAGTCATGAAGGGTTGGTCCAGCATCCTGATTCCTGGAAGAAACAAATGCGAGGTGAGACTGACACCAAACTGTGAGGTACTGACGGATTATTTACCACAAAGCTGGTAAATAATTATTTTCTTACGATATACAGGGTTATCGTCTCACGCCTAAAATCGCAACCTAATGTAAGTCAGAACTCTCGCCGATGCTAACGCTGTTCCTACAGCGCAACCTAACGTAAGTCAGAACTCTCGCCGATGCTAACACCGAGTGGTAACATCATGATCCAGGACACAAACAAAAAGCGAATGTAGCACAATCCAATGTCTGCCGGTGAATGTAAACAAAGCCGTCGTCTGCATATAGCGCCGCATGAGCTTGTGTTTCTTCGCTCTACTCGCCAACTTGTTCCTGTGTGAAATTTGTTTTAACGCCGTACGTCGGAATGATGGAACAAGAGTTCCTCGATATATTTATAGGAGATGGCGATGTAACCGCGAAACGCTGTAAGTCGAGGACGTCGTAAACTGAGGACATAAAAACATCGGAAGGGTCTGACTTACACTTGGGAGCCAGTATAAAGCGCAAAAAACAAAACAAAAAAAACCCCAACGAATGTAAACGAAGGGGTCTTCTGCGTGTAGTGCCACATGAAGTCGTGTTTATTTGCTCTGCTCGCCAACTAGTTGCCGTGTGAAATTTGTTTTGACGCCGTACGTCGGGAATGATGGAACAAACTGAGGTCGTAAACTGAGGACATAAAAACATCGGAAGGGTCTGACTTACACTTGGGAGCCAGTATAAAGCGCAAAAAACAAAACAAAAAAAAAAAACAAAAAAAAAAACAAAAAAAACAACACAAACAAATTTTAATCACGAAATGCTGTAAGTTGAGGACGTCTTAAACCGAGGACTCCCTTGAAAAGATGCAAAAAATGTAAAAAAAAAAAATTTCTAAAATTTCTAAAGACAATATCTGATATTTTTCCAGGGCAATAAATAATATATTTAACAAGAACTAAATACAAGGGGAGTCATCCACATACGGTGATTTGTTGTAACATTGTACTGATACCACTGTCATCAGAGTCTATTTCCACTGCCGTCTTCTCATTGTTATTCCCCTCACCGTCCCATGTGCAGCTTCATTATGACACACACCTGCCACTTTTGAATTGTAGGCGACTCCAACCCCACAGATATTGTTATTGGCTGCTGCAGAAACCTCTCCAGCACACCGTGTGCCGTGACTGGTGACAGGGAAAAACAAAAAAAAAACAGAAGAGAGGATTAGCATAAAAAAAAAAAAAAATCAATACAATTACCATTCACCCTGGGTTTCCCTGCTGCTCGTAGAAGGCCAACATGAATATTCTGCACTTCTCGCCCATCGTTTATCTGAGTCAGACTGAATACGTTGGCTCGCATCAGTGTTGTGTGATGTGTGTCTGTCACACCATTGCTTGGCTCGCCTCAAGGAAAACTGCACAGAGTTGACCCCGCTCTCCCAGCATGCTTTGCTTCAGACAGGCAGCTATTTATAACCGTAAACTGATTAGCCAGCACATTGTGTCCTATAGTCGGCAACTGCAACACTGACAAACCCAAAAATGTCCCTCCTACACACACACACACACACACACATCTAACGGAGGAGAAGACACAGAATATACGTCTCTCTCTCTGTTCCTCCCTGGACATGTTGTGCAGAGGCAGTGGATCATGCACTGTGATAGCGAGATGGGAGGCAGATAGTGTTATCAGACAGCGGCTCATCGGTGTAAACACTGCAGCTGGAAGTGCAGCAGTGTTTGTGTCCAGCCCTGCTTCATCTTCAATAACTTGTCCAAGAGATCAGGTGGGGGGAAAAAAAAAAAAAAGCAAAAAACCTTTAATGATGTCCAACGTCTGTTTATTCTGCACCATTACGTCCAAACAGACGTGGTTGAAGAGACGCACATATGTACACACACGGGAAAACACACACACACACCCACACCTCGTATGTAAACAGTAGAGTGAGCTGAGTGAGCTTTACCTGTTGAACCAGTCGTCTGTGTAGCGTGGAAATGGGAACGGGTCGTTGCTGCTGAAGTCATAGCTGGCATCAGCGTTCTGGAAGTGGAAGTGAAAATCAAGAGACACGGCAGATACTGATATATATATATATATATATATACAGTATATATTCCTGATATTTCTTAGTGATCTGGAGTACTAGATTTATCATCGGCCATAAATCAGACAGCTTAACACATTTAAATAAGGATTTTAATCCTCTTGTGTAGCTGGTAGCTTAGCACAACAACACGATGTTGTCTTGTTGGCTGACATGTTCTGACGTGTGTTAGTCATATCCCACAATGTACATTCACATGGTAAAAGGACTAAACAAATGTCAAATGGATTTATTATTGCAAAGAAGTTCAAGTGAAAGAAAAAAAGAAAAAAGAAAATCGAAAAAGAAAATCTAATATTTAAGAAAAAATTCCTCAGACCCGACACAAATTAGTTTGTATTGTCTCTCCTTAGTGAAAAATACGACATCTTGCGAGGAAGATGTCGTATTTTTCACCATGATGAGTCTCATAGTGGTGCCAAATATTATATTGTATATTTTACTTTCAAAATGTATCAGTCCAGATTGAACTCCCTAATGGACCGATTTTGGCCTGCGGGCCGTATGTTTGAAACCCCTCTTCTTCTTTTTTTGGTATTTAACCTTTATTTTACCAGTAAGAATCCCATTTAGATTCAGAAACTCTTCTGTGAGGGTGTCCTGGCCAAGACAGCACCATAATAGTTCCACATTAAAACACTAGTTTAAAAAAAGACCACAAAGAACTGGACACGTAAAACAATTAGTGCCAAGACGGCGAAACTATTATTAGCGCTTTTAGTATTTGGCAAAAAAAAAAAAATTTTAAAAATCCAGTTTCAGGTGTTGATGTAATTCAAGTGTATACTTGTGGTCAAGGGATGACATACTCTACTACAGCGGAAGCAATTGTCGATCACAATGTTTTCGCAGCCTCGCAAAAAAGATGCGGTTCCTGCTACTACTACGGATACACCCTGGAAGAGGTGTCCCGAGAAATGGCGCCACCCTCTGAAGAGACGTAAAATCAATCATCGGCTGCGCAGTAAAAGTCATCATCATCTTCCTCATCGTCATTTTACTGCGCATAAAATATGGTGTCACTACTTTGCGGAAATTCAGTTCTCGCGGCAGGGCTCGGAACCTATCTACCGCCATAAACGAGGGACCGCTGTATTTCCTTGTAAAGAAAGTTGGGGTAACACTAAACTATAAGCCCAACAGGAGTGAGAAACAAATGAATATTTAATGGAAGGAAAGTGAAGGAAAGTGAAGTACTTGTCATTGTGACACAGCACACCTGCTTTTAACCCATCACCAAAGTGAACAGTGGGCAGCAGTGAGTGGGGACGGTGCCATGCTCAGAGAACCTTGGCAGCTGGTGGACTCAAACCTGAAGCCTTCCGGACCAAAGTCGGCTTCCTTAACCACTAAGCCACCACTTCCCTTTTTAGTTATTATAAAGCCTTTACATTAACCCCTTAACCACTACCGTTGTTGATATTAACTTGATTGATTCCAGAAGTGCTGTCTCATGCTCAGCAGCTTAATGTGGACAGCACGCTGGACGGAATGACGCAGTACTTAATTACAAATCTCCGCTTTACGCCAGGACTGGAAATGTGTGGTCACTGAAGGGACTTCAAGCTGACAAAATAATGGCCGCAAATTTAATTCACCGTGGAGGGGAGTGAAAGGACGAAACAAAGGAAACAGACGTGGAAAATACACCAGAAACTCATCTGCCAGAAACACACGCTATCTATGGTAGGGGTTCTCAATCGCCGGTTCAGGGACTGGTGCCAGTCTGTAGGTCATTTTGTACCGAGCCGCAGTGGGACACAGTGGAATAAATAGTACTTCAGTTTTACTAATTGACTTCCTTGAAAAAGAATCCAGTCCTATCCCTTTACTTTTTTCATTCAAAGATAATCTGTCAATGTTTCTGTACAATGGCGCTGTATTACTGGTTCTTGGTACAAAAAGGTTGGGGACCGCAGGTGCGTTTGTCTGGTCATCAGTATGGACGAGCCAACGCTGCACTCATTATCCATATAAGCTAACACATTGCTGTAGTAGCTGACATTTAGACAATATGAGTCACGGGCAGCAGGAAAAAGGGGAAATTGAAAGAAGGCCAGAGCTACTGACCCAACGGAAACATGCCGGAACGGTGACAGTGTGGAACAAGTGCAAAAGTTGATCGGCTGTAACTTTGTACAGCGTTACCACGTGTGACAAATGAGGTCAGTTAGCGGCTTCTTTACAACTAATATGACCTTCAATAAACAGTGAGGCTAGAATGAAACGTCACACTGATGCCGGGTTTCCAAACGGTACACATGATGGATGATAACTATCCTTACACAGACAGCCAATGGGAGTGCCGGCTCCTTGATCATGATTGGTCAAATTCTCCAGTGACAGGTTTGAATTGTAACGACTCTAATAATGTATCAAAAAATAGTTAACGTAATTTCCGGATTAAAAGCCGCTACTTTTTTCACACGCTTTGAGCCCTGCGGCCTAAACAATGAAGCGGCTAATTTATGGATTTTTACGGGGTAACGAAGTTTATGCCGCTAGCGATCAATGACTTTTCTGGTTGCTAGCGATCAAGGACTTTTCTGATAGACCACTGTGTGTTATACTAGTAGTGTATGTCACGACTGCGTGTTATACTAGTAGCGTATGTCTGTCTGATAATAAAGACCCCAACTTCCCTGTTTCTGTTTACCTCTGCTGCGGACAAGCACAAAGTGAAGGGAGTTAGCACTGGCGCTAATGTTAGCTTTGTCCCTGTGGCAGATCACTGTGCATTCCAACTACGGTCGTGGCGCCGAAGCAGGAAAGAGCTAACGTGTAACCAGCCGTGTTACAGGCAGTGCGTGCGGCTTATATTCCGGTGTGCTCAGTAGTCCGAACATTACGGTATGTCGTCCTGTTGTAAACGTCGTGCCGCAGATGTTTCACTCTCTGTCACTAGGGTTCCTGCGAACCAAAACCGGCTGCGAACTGTTCCGCCTCTAGTTCCATTTTCTCCCTGCGCTCCGTTTCTGTGTTTCTCTAAATTTGTCTCACATTCAAACAAAAGGCTGAGATGAACTTCACACCCGTGTGACATTATAATGCGTTGTCATGGAAACCTCAGCGGGCGTACACTTGAAATAACTATTCCTCAACAGCGGCACAAATACCACCAACACAGAGTTCTGCCGTTTAGATAATTATCCCCAGGACAGAAGGAAGGAGTGAGTATATTTATGGATTAAGGGGAAGCAGTAATTGATTACTTTAACACCGCTAATTGACTTTGTACCACCCTCATCGTAGAAAAGGTGATAATTGACGCATGTATGAATGTGTTTAATCGTGCGTTATGAACAATTGCACGGTAGGGATTTAGATATAAATAATCCGGGATAGATTGACCAAGCATCTCACATGTGGACATACACACAATCACAACCTACACACCATGTTAAATGTCTGGAATGTTATTGGCTGTAATAGACAATTGTGAACACTAAAAAAAAAAAAAGTGTAATTTCTATAAAAAGGAGAAAAATCTCAAGATAATGCTTCATTTTCTTCAACAGAAAAACAGCCAGGGTGTTAACAATTAACTTCCATACTTCCATGTATAATTAGCAAAAAAAACAAACAGTTTTTTGGGGGGCTAGAATGTGCAGTTTTTGGCTCTCTCTCTCAGTCGTTATCGCTCTCTCTCTCGCATCACTTCAGCTCAGGCCAAGTGTTATTTCCAGGCTAGGGCTCACTGACAGGAAGCATGCAAACACACAAGAGAGTTGTAAATGCAAACTTTTTTTTTTTGCAAATCACATTCAACCTAAGGTATGCAGTGTGCTAACCTACTGAGGCGGAAAACAAAATGCTAATGTAAGTGCTAACTCCTGAGTGTAGCCACGCTGTCAACGTACACGCTAAAGGACGCATTTTGGAATTAACAGGCAGGAATACATGAGACATCCTTCTTCCTTTGTTTCTTCTCTAATCCAACGTCAGTATACAACATTTATTTTCTCCACCTGCTGTTTCCTTACGACTTTCTTGTTTCTCGTTCCTCCTGCTCCATCGTAAGCTCCATCAACACCCTTCAAAGTCCTATACTTGAGCTATCTCCCACTTCTTAGGACGAATCTTGCTGAAAGTGACTTGATCAGACCTAATAATAATAATATTTAAAAAAATACACCAATTCTGTGGTGACCTCCGAAAAATATATTATGATCATATTATATTGTCAGTCTGGCTGAAAAAAATAGTGTAAACACTTCTGACAGCTTCGGTGTAGGCCTGGTGTCCTATATTATACTTTAATTAATTTGTAATTAGAAATAATTAGCAAAGCAAACAGTCCTTATATAGAAATGATGAGTTACAAATAAGGTCATTATGTGTAATATTTCATATTTCATCTAAAAATACAAAACCAAATTAATGCAAATGCTAAATCTGGTTAAGCGTGTATGCTGACGACACCGTTAAATGATTCGTGTAGATTTTGTATTTTGAACTTTGCAAAAACTGCAAACTCATTTACCTAATTAAAATGACTCTAAACCAAGCGTATAATTCCATATTTACCCTAGCAACAACGTATTCTTTAAGAATTTATCAGCATTCTGCACATGGAGCGTCACTTTGTGCAGCGCCAACTACACTGGCGTTATAACTCCTTATGTGACAGATTAGCCTGCTATTGTGCTTGGCCACAGTGCAGTGCGCATTAACATTAGACAGCTTGGCTGGCCGTCTGCCTTTCTCTGCGTCCTCCAGGAACACAAGGAGACTCGGAGGCCATGAAGGCAAAGAAACCACCCGTCATCGTCGATGGTACAACACAAGAATTCTACTGAATCTTAACAGCACTTTGGCTAAATGAGGGGAAGTATGATAATAATCATCAGTGGTGGACAGTAACAAAGAAGTTCATATATTTATTATTATGGCTTTGATGACCAGCAACTGAATTATTTTAAATGTAACCTACGTTGTTTGTTTTATGTGTTTGGCTAATTTAGGTAACTAGCAGCTATCCGCTAGCATAGCTCACTAGGGTGACCAGATGTCCCCTTTTCCTTGGACATGTCCATTTGTTAGACCTGGAAATTGCCTAAACTTTTGGCACATCATGGTTCATCCGTTCATCCATCCATCTGTCCATCCTTCATCCATCCATCCAACATCCATCTATCTATCATTCATCCGTCCATTCATCTATCCATTCATCTATCCAACCATCCATCCATCCATCCATCATCCATCTATCTATCATTCATCCGTCCATCCATCCATCTGTCTGTCCATCCATCCATCCATCTACTATTTAAAGATATAACTCATCAGGGTACTTTTCCGTTGGTCCATCCATCCGTCTGTCCATCCATCCATCCATCCATCTACTTTTTAAAGATATAACTCATCAGGGTACTTTTACTTTTGATACTTAGTAGTAGTAAGTATATTTAAAGCCAAATACTTTTATACTTCTACTCAAGTGGAAGTATTACTATCAGCTAGTGTTCTTTATCCATCATTGATAGCATTAAAAAAAACACATGCACAAATACTCACATAATTTGATGCCAGGTCAGGATGGAGATAGTCAATGCCTGAAATGCAAATTTGATGTTAGGAGGAGTCAGGACTAAATAATAAAAAAAAATGTTTAAAGTATATTTTATTGGTTGAATTTAATATTAGGAGTGGTGAAAGATTAGAGTCAGGACTAAATAATAAAAAAAAAAAAATTTAAAGTATATTTTATTGGTTGAATTTTGATCGCATTTTTCAGCCTATTCCTGGTCCATTTGATCTAGTTAAAATGTTGAATTGTTTTCCAATGTACATTCACGAGGACCATAATAATTAAACATACACTACGCAGCTTAAACCCTGTCTTAATTTAAATTTAATAGAAGTCATTTTGTTTGGTGATTGATTCAGGTCTGATATTAAGCACTAATAAATGACCTACATAATTCATGAATCTCAGCCTGTTCCTAATCATTGACAGAATGACCGGCACTATATTATTAACTTTCATCTGAATAATTCATGCAGGAACTGAACGCTCTCAGTTTCTCTCACCGTCATCCATGATTGCGATGGTAACTCCTTTCCCCGTGAAGCCCAGCTGCCATGCTTCAGCCACGTTAAGATCCAGCCCCGGAGTTCCATCGGCCTGGCCTGTGTTTATCTAAATTAGGTGAACAAAAAAAAAAAAAAAAAAAAAAGAAAAGCAGCCGCCATTAAAAGGTTTAGATAAGAACTGCTTAGATGTGCGCAATTTAAAGTGGGCTTGTAATGGAAGTGAAATGTCAGCGATTTGGTAAATCATCTGATATGTCAAGTGAAAAAGCCACGCTCGCCTTTACACACAAACAAGAGGGGAAAAGAAATCGGGCCGCATGGATTTAGCGAAGGAAAAAGGCGGCAACATCATTGGCAAGGCTAATTAAAGAATGAATAACAATGATGCAGGAGGCGGCGGGGGAATACGGCCCGGCTTCTAAGCAATTAGGGTGGAAGAATGTGGTTGAGCATAAAAGGTCAGGCTGAGTCAGGCATCACTCACCAGGTACCATTGTTTGGTGAACAGAGGGTCACTCATGTTAACTTCGATGTCGTTGATATTCCTGTAGCCGCGCTTCTGACGGCTGAAACCATCCTGTTCGAAGACATTCTTCACCTGGAGGAGGGGAAAAACCGGAAGTCGTTTTGATAACTGGATTGAGTTGTTCGACAGCAAAAAAAAAAAAGTTAGAATGTGAAGCATAGCTGCGAAAAAAAAGAAATATTTATTAATATTTTATTAGTGTAAATTCATTGCAGGATTAATTGCAAAGATAGTGTGACTAACATAATGTAGCTAGATTTTAAATATAACTAAACTCAATTAAATAATAAATTCATTTAAGGTGAATACTGTTAGAAAAAAGCTACAAGTTGTTAATCTTTGGTTAGAAGAAAGCTAAACGGGACATGGAATGTTGTGCACACCTTCAAAAATAACCATTGAAAAATTTGTTTTCAACCTAGGGTTCGGGACCCCACGTGGGGTCACGTGGAATTAAAACGGGGCTGCTAGAAATGTAGAATTTTTTTTTTCAAATTTAAAAAATTAAAAAGATAAAAATATATAATATAATATACTGTATATATATATAGCATCAAAATATTACTAGTGACAGCTATTTCTTCTTTCTTCAAAGTAATAATTCAAAGAAATATGATCAATAATTAATTCTAGAAAAAAAAAAAACTCTGGGGACGTCAGAATTTTGTGTTGTCAAAATGCGCTCACAGACCAAAAAAGGTTGTGAACCACTGTTTTGATACACAGTAATCACCCAGAGTGACTGGAATACTAAGTAGTTACTCGTTTATACGTGTGTCTGTTTGACACGGTAGCACAAGCCTGGCTGTTTTACGGCTCGTCAGCGCCTCCCCTGTTTCCATTTGAGATTGAATTCCAAATCTCTCAGAAGTAATCACAAATAAACTGCACAAATAAATCCGATCGAACACGGCCATATGGAATTATTAGGTTTATTTCACACTTGTTGATGTGAAACTCCAGCGAACGTTTTTCCGGCTGTCTTAACTGTTAGCGTCAGTTAAAACAGAAACGTTAACCCTATAATTCACCGTGCCGACTCATCGCTCAGTGAGACGTAGAGATGCTTTGTGTGCTAAAAAAACCCACTGTGTTCTATATAGTGACAAAGCGGCCGAACATTATAGACTAAAACACCAATCTTTAGAACCAGGACTGCCAGCAGAAGCAGGGCTTTCCAAATCACTTGGTAGAAAATGACGGAGACATTTATTTACCTCTGACAAATGTTTGATTAAAAAAAAAAAAAAGAAGGCCAATTACTCCCACAGATGTGCTTCTTTGAATCGTCAAAGCTGCGCTTTAAAAGCAAGCAGGAAAACAAAAAACATATATTCATGAGAATTACTGATATGCTGTATATTCAGAGATCAGTTCTACTCTCTGGACGACCAGGTTACACAAGGACGTGCTACGAAAAAAAAAAGCGGCTCGTCAATACAGCCATTTAAAATTGAATTTTTTTTTTTTTTTTTACCATTGAAAAAGAGAAAATGGAGGTTAAGTAGAAGAAGGGAGAGCAATCAATAGCTAAACCAAGCCTGGAGTGAGGTTCAGCTACAGCATTTGGCATATTTTACTGAGAGGAAGGTCTCAATGACAACGACTTCATTTGAAGGATTAGATCCTTTTTCATCACCCGCTGCCTCTGTGTGTGCGTCAGCGGTTGAAACAGGAAAGGATTACAGTGCGACGCCGTCATTGTGCCACAGCAAATAAAGCGAGTGTTTTTACAGTTCATTGTCAAAATGGAAACTCATTTCTAAATGATGCCATAAAGGAAAGTGACGCCTGGCTTAAGGTTGCTTTCAGAGATGAAATGTTTCTCCGTGTGCTCATCCTGGTTCCCTGGCTCTGTAGATAAAACACGTCGGCAGATTCGCAGCTAATGCTTTAAAACTAAAAAACCCTAAAAACTGAAATTCTCACTGAAAAAAAAAAGGGTAAACAAATGTAGCATATCGTTGAATTTCTCCCATAGCAGTAATAATAAGTACTGATTCAAATCATTTGACACTGCGTTTAGATCACAGTGCCAAGGCGTCCGCCCCCCATGTTGGGCACCACTGCTCTAGTGAGCCTGACAGGACCATAAGAAAATATTGATACACTAAAATATTGCAATATGTCTTTTCATCGTCTTCATCAATATATTGTCTATATTAATATATCGTCTAAAACAATATATTGTCTATATCACTATATCGTCGATGTCAATATATTGTCTTTGTCACTATATTGTCTATCAATATATTGTCGATAACAATATATCGTCTATATCAATATCGGCTATATCAATATATTGTCTATATCAATATATTGTCGATAACAATATATAGTCTATATCAATATATCAGCTGTATCAATATATCATCTTTATCAGTATATTGTATCGTTCGCCCCGTATCGTGATACCTATCGTATCACATCGCTCTTACCAATACACACACGTCAGAACCATGAATGTCTGGTTGTCGACTACTATGAATATTTACAAAAATGCCTATTCATCACAGTCAGTAAAATAAACAAGTAACACCTGGACAAAGCACCATGAATTAATACTTTTTTTTTTTTTTAAAAAAGAACGTTTTCTGTGTTGTTCCTTTGACTGAACGTACATTAGTACATCATCCTCCGTCCCTCGACCCTCTTCCTCCTCCTCCCCCCCCCCTTCTGTCCATCATCCATTTATTTCCTCACCAGACAGGAGAAATGGTATTTCCCCCTGTGAAGACATGTCACAGTGCCCACTCAAAACATCAAACAGGACCCCTCCACCACCATCAACCTCTTTTTCTTTGCTCCCTATTCACCAAGTCCTCGCATTCAGCGCAAATCGCCGCTTCTTCGGTCTCTCTTTTCTCCTTGTACTCTTTAATGACCTCATCTTCGTCGACACCTGCCTCTCAGGGTCGGAGGGACACGATCGTGTTCATTCTTTACACAGTGTTTGCTGAAATCTCCGGGTAATACATTTTCAATTTTTTTTTTTAATTGAACAACACACTGCGGGGTTCGACTGTGCTCCATCATTGCAGGGTTTAAGAAATCAATAACGACTGAACAACCAAAGAGAGATGTAAAGACTCCAGAGACACTCCCCCCCCCCCCCCCCCCCCTCTATCTACAACACTAAGTCCGTAATGAAACAGTACAGCGGTTCCATCAATGATACCATATTATATGTAATACATAGAAAATAGCTAGTATTATCTGACCCAGACCATTCATTTCTGCTATACACCTATAACTACCTGTGATGATACCTTGTCAGCTCTTGGAGACAGGCTTTGGTGGGATTTTTTTTTTTCGATCACAATTTCTGCTGGCGAATAAATACAACGTGTCCGATTGGATCCGATTTCAAAGCCACAGGATCGTACACCACGATCAAGACTCTTTAAAACAAAAATTTTGATGTATTTTTTTAATGCACCAGCTCAGCCTCCTCATCAGACATTCCCTCACTAAAGAAATGAAAAAAAAAAATCTCGAGGGACTTCCTGGGAAAGGTTAACTGAATTTTTTGTAAGTCTTCATCCTCCTCCACTACAGCCGTGCTCTATTCATCAGCGGCAGTAACAACGCTATACTAGATCTGCGGATGTCAAGCAGTCAGTGTCAAGGCTGCTGAGCCAACACTGGAACCGATCGGGATTGTCAAAGGAACCATAACAACGTTAGGACAGTACTTCTGGTGGGGTGGGGGGACATGAGTGTACCACTGCTGTTATGCTTGAATGATAACAAGCCTCCAGTCACTAGGTGGCAGCAACTCGTACAGTGGTTTGGTAGAGAAACAAATATAGAAGGCGGGGGGTGTGTGAAAACATTTCCGTCCCCAAGAGGGGGACATGACAGAAAATAATTGGTTTAGGTGATGAGGAACCCACCGAGCTACAACACGTCATATGTCACTGACACATAGGTGGCAGCAGTGTTACGAAACGGTAAGGAAAACACTTGGGGATGATATACAGCAGTGGTCTCCAACTGCAGTGAGCTGTGGACCACAGCTGTCACTGTCATTTTATTGGAGGTGTTTGTTGTTCACTACATAAAACACGGATATTTTTGGAAAGGGTAGTTTTTGGGTTTTTTTATAAATACTGTGTCATTTCAGTTAAAACAGCACAGTACAGATCTTTTTTTTCTTTATTCCTAAATAACACCCCCTTAATACAGGCTAGTGATGGCTCGATACAACTTGATCTTCTCCAATACCGTACCAATACTGCAAACCGGAGTATTTGCTGATACCAATATCAATTTGATACCTTCTTTTCTCACCCAAAAATACCCCAGCCAGTTGCAGAGGCGACAGTGTCTCTAATTCCGGCCGACCGTTTGGGCTCAGGTATCGGATCAGACGGGCTATTGTTCAATCTGGAAATTTTTAACCAATCGCCTGAAACCATCCCTAATACCGCCTAGGTCTGCGTACACTAGGCGGTGTTGTACACAGCATCAGTGATGCAGTTCTGCTCAGGTCTGTGATGCGGTCTGCCTTTCATTAGCTGTATTAGCTCAGTGGAGTGCCTGGCGTTAATTTTCATTAGCACCTCTCATAACCGCAATTAAAAAAGGTCAGTTGATTGTCTGCAGCGGGGGCCGCTACTTTCCCTGCCCACGATACAGAGCTACACGAATACAGAGTGGGGTTTTTTTTTTTTAGGAGTGGTTTTTTTGGATTTGTTGCAGTGACAGTACAGCCTGTACCGTACTATGTCAGCCATTATGGCGGAATTGTAGAACGTGTCTTCACTAAAGATAGTAGGTATGTCCATGCTTTAACCCTTCGCTCCCTAGTTGACTTGCCAGTGATTTCATTGGTCAGGCCCTTGACTCATAATTGCACCTGCTAGCTGACTGACATTTGATGAAGAAAATAGTGAATTTGATTGAATGAATTTCGTAACACAACGTTCCCGTGTCTACAAGAAAAAAAGAAAAAAGACAGGAATACTGCGTGAAAACTGCATTGATCCGCTTTTTAAGGTACTTAGCAATGGTTTAAATTTTTATTTTAAAAGCCAACTAAGTGAAAAATTAATAAATAGATAACTGGATGTTATGGAATATTCCAGTTGGACCTTGGATCAAATCTGCTGCAACACTACCGTAACTAGGATAATAAAAAAAATTGCCTTTTACACTTTGTTTTTTTTTTCTCTGTAATATTTGTTTTTAGTTTGAACTCATCTCATCAGCTCATCACAACACCAGTGCAGCCGATGTTTATGTTCGATATGTCAGGGAACACAAATGTCTCCCCTCACCCCCATCGACATCCACGTCCTAATTGTCTTTAACATAGATTACGGCCTTAATTGCGTGATTACCGAGCAAAGGCAAGGGGTAACTATGGTGACGTGGATGCAGGAAACAAAATTGGCTTTTTCAGAGCGTGTCCCAGCGTGCACATGCTCACCCTGTGGTCTTTCTGTAGCCGCTGTCTGCCGTTGCTGCTGCGTTTGCTCCACTTCCTCGGAGCGTCCTGAGGATAGAAGTGAAAGAGCCCGTCTCCGAAGGAAAGCTGCATGAAGAAAGGAGAAATTGTAATTAAAATTAAAAAAAAAAAGAAACATTTATCTGCCATCCCTTTTCGTATTTAAATGAAAGAAAAGGGACGTCAGGTCATCCTGTGGGTGAGCACAAGGGCACTGATTTCCCTGGCTTTCAAATGGGAGCTATTTTAAGACACACCAGTGCTGGAATCAACCGTGATAAATCACAAGGGCAGGGAAGTGAGACGCAGCGTCCAGAGCTCTTCCTCTGGCACCGTGCACAGATTAAAGACTCCCCTATGCTTTGGTACCGGGTCAATCCTGAAAGTAAACGCTTTCAGACGCACAACTGTCAGCTCCTAGGAGATTGTATGAGACATGAAAAAATAATAAACCTTCATTACTCGTGAGCTAACTGCAGGTGTTTTTCCATTCCACATCACATTCCGTCTTCTTGAACGGGAAACCGAAAAACACTTCTGGTAACAGGGACGTTGTTCAATAATGCATGTCCCAGCAAGACAAATATAGCTGCCGATTACATAACCACAGGAGGGGAGTGGGTGCTGCTGGGTAGGGGTAGCCTACTGTAATAAGAACAGGAGGTGAATGGTGATGCTCTGAAAACCAAAAATAAATATTAAAAGAATCTTTACTCAGAGCAATCAGACACTTGTCTATAAAAAAAAAATTTACTCAGAGCAATCAGACACTTGTCTGTTCAATGCTACGCCTCACTAGATAAAGGCGCCGGCTAATTCCCTCTGAACGTTTAGTTTGGCATTTCACAAGACCCACAGACACTGAATTATTCATATGATTCTGCCACAGTGGGCAGAATCATATTTGATTGGTTGCACGGTATTACATGGCATTTGACATATTATTCTATGTGTTTAAAGATATTTTAAACACCAAAATGCTTAGCTGGGTTTTTAATGTCATGTTTGTGTCATTATGGTAATATAAATGCACAGCGAATTTGCAAAAGTTTAGTTGTTTGTTTTTTTTTCCCGATAGCAAAACCTCGTTTAAAGCCACACACAAAAGAGGCGCGAAAAGAACTAAATCAGTTCAAACTTTACCCTAACGAGAAACGGTCGTGTTGTGTTGAACTAACCCAACTGTTCCTTTACTCTCCTCTCAGCGACACCTGGAAATAATAGACTTCTATTTTCAAACGTTCATTTATCCGTGGCGGAGATTTGCCAACTCGTCAGCTACACGGGCTACGATAAGCCAGCGGGTAACCTTTACGTGAGCCTGCATTTTAGCGGTAGTGACGTCATCAATTAAGATAAAATGTCACGGAAAGACGGCCAAACAACACGACGAATCTTCAGAGACTCCCTCCTGTCGGCCTGGGTGTGTTAATGATAACGGTTGTTTATTTGGTTTATTTATTTTTTTGGTTTTTTTTTTTTTTTTTTTTTACATCGCTTAAATGGGATTTTCTTGATTGTGTTACAATGAACAAGATTGTTGACTTAGATATATTTTCCGTTGAAATACTAATTCAGATTTTTTTTTTTAAAAAGAAGATTGTACTCTTAAATATGTTTTGAAATGTAAACAAATGAAAATTAAATTCAATAGGGGAAGAAAAAAAAAAAAAAAAAAAAAAGCAAAAGCTTGTAATTTTCCACTGCTTACCTTTCGGGCCCT